TTCAATCCTGATTTTAGTTATTCCTTGGGCTGTTTGTCCTCCCAAATCCTGGTTTTGGTCATTGCTTGGGCTGTTTGTCCTCCTAAATCCTGATTTTGGTTATTGCTTGGGCTGTTTGTCCTCCCAAATCCTGATTTTGGCTATTCCTTGGGCTGTTTGTGCTCCCAAATCCTGATTTTGGTCATTGCTTGGGCTGTTTGTGCTCCTAAATCCTCATTTTGGTCATTGCTTGGGCTCTTTGTGCTCCCATATCCTGATTCTGATTATTCCTTGGGCTGTTTTTCCTGTTCAATCCAGGTTTTGGTTATTCCTTGGGCTGTTGGTCCTGTTGAACCCAAATTTTGGTTATTCCTTGTGCTTTTAGTTCTATTCAATCCTGATTTTAGTTATTCCTTTGGCAGTTTGCCATCCTAAATCCTGATTATGATTATTCCTTGAGCAGTTTGTCCTCCTAAATCCAGGTTTTTGTTATTCCTTGAGTAGTTTGTCCTTCTAAATCCTGATTTTGGTTATTCCCTGAGCTGATTGTCCTCCTAAACCCAGATTTTGGTTATTCCTTGGGCAGTTTGTCCTGTTGAATCAGGTTTTGCTTATTCCTTGGATTGTTTTTCTTGATTTTGGTTATCCTTTGGGTAGTTTTTCCTCTTGAATGCTGCTTTTGGCTGCTCCTTGGCTGTTAGTCCTGGTGAACCTGGGTTTGGTTATTCCTTCGTCAGCTAGTCCTGGTTTTATCTGCTCCTTGGGCTGTTGGTCCTGTCAAATCCTGTTTTTGGTTATTCCTTAGGCTGTTAGTCCTGGTTTTATCTCCTCCTTGGGCTGTTAGTCCTGTTTTCCCCAGGTTTTGGTTATTCCTTAGGCTGTTAGTCCTGTTTCTGGTTATTGCTTGGGCAGTTAGTCCTGGTTTTATGGGCAATTAGTCCTGGTTTTATCTCCTCCTTGGGCTGTTAGTCCTGTTTTCCCCAGGTTTTGGTTATTCCTTAGGCTGTTAGTCCTGTTTCTGGTTATTGCTTGGGCAGTTAGTCCTGGTTTTATGGGCAGTTAGTCCTGGTTTTATCTCCTCCTTGGGCTGTTAGTCCTGTTTTCCCCAGGTTTTGGTTATTCCTTGGGCTGTTGGTCCTGTTTTTGGTTATTGCTTGGGCAGTTAGTGCTGGTTTTATCTCCTCCTTGGGCTGCTAGTCCTGTTTTCCCCAGGTTTTGGTTATTCCTTGGGCTGTTGGTCCTGTTGAACCTGGGTTTTGGTTATTCCTTGGGCACTTAGTGCTGGTTTTATGGGCACTTAGTGCTGGTTTTATCTGTCCCTTGGGCTGTTAGTCCTGTTTCACCCACGAGTGAATGGTGGCTGATGCAAACTGCAGCCTCTGTGGGCTCCTCTGGGCTGTGGGTGAGTTTTGAACCCTTCAGAGCAGCTCAGATCCACAGAAATAAAAAGAAATCCTATTTATCCATCCTCCTGTGAGAGCTGTGCCCACCTTACATCCCTTTGCCACGAAAAGCTGCCCTGAACCTGACCAAGCTGCAGCAGCTGGGTGTCTGTAAATTGATTTTTCTGGGGTTTGGGTGGCCCTGACAGCTACAGGAGCTTCTGTTCCTCCATGGGAGCTGCAGGGGTGAAAGTGGAAAAAACTGAATTGTCAGTAATGGATTACTTGGCTTTGCTTCCCAAAACCACACTGGTCCTGCACATAAATGTCCCCTGCTGCTGCCCTAAACTGGGATCAACTGGGATTTTCTCCAGGGCATCCTGAAATCCTGAGCAGCCCCCACAGGATGGGAAGGAGCAGAGACCATGAGGGGTTGCATGGAAAGCTGGATGTAAAACCTGCTTTTAAATTCTGAGCTAAAATCCAATGCATTGCTGGATATAAAACCTGCTTTTAAATTCTCAGCTAAAATCCAGGGCATTGCTGCATTGCTGGATATAAAACCTGCTTTTAAATTCTGAGCTAATCCAGGGCATTGCAGCATTGCTGGATATAAAACCTGCTTTTAAATTCTCAGCTAAAATCCAGGGCATTGCTGCATGGCTGGGTATAAAACCTGCTTTTAAATTCTCAGCTAAAATCCAATGCATTGCTGCATTGCTGGATATAAAACCTGCTTTTAAATTCTCAGCTAAAATCCAGGGCATTGCTGCATTGCTGGATATAAAACCTGCTTTTAAATTCTCAGCTAAAATCCAGGGCATTGCTGCATTGCTGGATATAAAACCTGCTTTTAAATTCTGAGCTAAAATCCAATGCATTGCTGCATTGCTGGATATAAAACCTGCTTTTAAATTCTGAGCTAAAATCCAGGGCATTGCTGCATTGCTGGATATAAAACCTGCTTTTAAATTCTCAGCTAAAATCCAGGCATTGCTGCATTGCTGGGTATAAAACCTGCTTTTAAATTCTGAGCTAAAATCCAATGCATTGCTGCATTGCTGGATATAAAACCTGCTTTTAAATTCTGAGCTAAAATCCAGGGCATTGCTGCATTGCTGGGTATAAAACCTGCTTTTAAATTCTCAGCTAAAATCCAATGCATTGCTGCATTGCTGGATATAAAACCTGCTTTTAAATTCTCAGCTAAAATCCAATGCATTGCTGCATTGCTGGATATAAAACCTGCTTTTAAATTCTCAGCTAAAATCCAGGGCATTGCTGCATTGCTGGATATAAAACCTGCTTTTAAATTCTCAGCTAAAATCCAATGCATTGCTGCATTGCTGGATATAAAACCTGCTTTTAAATTCTCAGCTAAAATCCAATGCATTGCTGCATTGCTGGATATAAAACCTGCTTTTAAATTCTCAGCTAAAATCCAGGGCATTGCTGCATTGCTGGATATAAAACCTGCTTTTAAATTCTCAGCTAAAATCCAGGGCATTGCTGCATTGCTGGATATAAAACCTGCTTTTAAATTCTCAGCTAAAATCCAGGGCATTGCTGCCCTCCCTGGGGGATTTCCCTGAGTTTTTGGGTTTGTTTGGGAATGTGGAACAGGAGCTTTGCACAACCTGCCCAATTCCCTGGTGGAGGGTGGTGCCTTTCATGAGCTGAAATTCCAGCCAAATTTTTCAGGTTTTTAAAGTGTGTTTATTACAAATTCCATCATTTGGTTGGCCTAGACTTGAGTAAACCCAGCTTGGTTTTGTTGTTTTGGGTGAAAGTCCTGACCCGAGCTCTGGTTCTTCCTTGGGCTGTGGAAGGGTTTGGGGGCTCCAAGGTTCAAACCTTAAAGGTTTTTATAGGTAATTAATGAAGGGCTTGATGAGCTGAAGGGTTCCTGCTGAGGATGGAATCCTCCTGCAGCTCTGCAGCCTCTCCCTGCAAAAGCAGAATTCCAGAATTTGCTGAACGCCCCTTGCCCAGGGCTGAGGCCTTCTCAGTGCTGCTGTTTTGGGGCTGCTCCAAGGCCCTGCTGTCGGTGCCATGGGCTGGAATTGCAGAATCCTGGAATTCTGAGGCTGGAAAAGCTTTCCAAGGCCATCCTGTGGCCCATCCCCACCCTGTCCCCAGCCCAGGGCAGTTCAAAGGAGGGCGAGCTGGGCAAACTGGGAACAGGCAGGAATTCCCTGAGAAGGAGAAAATGCAGAGGCAACAAAACCAAGCTGGGTTTACTCAAGTCTAGGCCAACCAAATGATGGAATTTGGAGTAAATACACTTGAAAAACCTTAAAAAATGTGGCTGGAATTTCAGGCCTTCCTTGGCCACCCCCAGGGCTGTGGCTCCATGGCCTGTGTCAGTTTTTAACCTTTTCCACAGGGAGGATCTGTGGGCATTTTGCTGCTCAGGATTTCCAGCGATGGCTGTGGAGGTTTGAGGTTTTTACCCAGGGCTGATCGGGGTCCTGGGACCCCTCACGTTTTGTCATTGTCACCTCCGGGCCTTGGAGCCCTGGAAAGAGCTCCAGGGAATTTTCCTGAGGGAATGTTGTGTAATGAAGTGGCGGCAGTGAACTTTGGAGCAGGTTTGGGTGCCAGGAGCAGGTTTGGGTGCCAGGAGCAGGTTTGGGTGCCAGGAGCTCAGCTGGCTCCAAATCTGTGCTAGAAAAAAGCCCCGAGGCACAGAAATGCAGCTGGAATTCCCTGCCAGGCCCTTGGGGGAGAAAACCACTGGGAGCTGAGGGGAAAACTGGGACAAGGAACCTCCCAGAGCCTCTGGGGGACACTGGCTCTGCATTTTCTCCTTTTCAGGGAATTGCTGCCTATTCCCAGTTTTCCCAGCTTGCCCTTCTAGGAACTGTCCCAAGCTGCTGGGCAGCTGCAGGAGGGACAAGCTGGGGCAGAGTCAGGGTGTTGAAAGCAGAGAAAATTACAGCCTTGCCTGGATTTCTTCAGGCAGCCTTTGGAGCAGCCTCATTGCTTGGGATTGCCATGGATAAAGCAGAGCAGAGGCTGCACTTCCCTCCAGGAGCAACCTGGCTGTCACAGCCTGGCTTGAGCCTCGTCCTATTGCAGCTGAACTCCCCCAAAATTGGGGTTCAGAGCTTGAGCCTGGCTTGTGCCTTCTCTGTTCCAGCTGAACTCCCCCAAAACTGAGGCTCAGAGCTTGAGCCTGGCTTGAGCCTCATCCTATTGCAGCTGAACTCCCCCAAAATTGAGGCTCAGAGCTTAGGCCTGGCTTGTGCCTTCTCTATTCCAGCTGAACTCCCCCAAAATGGGGGTTCAGAGCTTGTTCATCCCCTTGGGTGGAGTGTGGGCTCCATCCAGCAGGATAAATAAAACATCAGAATAAATAAGGGACATCAGGGCCAAAGTGACCCCTCAGTGATCTCAGGATCCTGGTGGCTCTGAACCCTGGGGTTTGTTGTTGCATGGGATGGGTTACTGGGGGGGTCCCAGTGCTGGGGTAGCAGTTGTGGGGTTCTCTGGGTTGGGATTGAAGGCACTTGAGACTCTGGTTCATGTTTGGACTCAAATGTTTATTATTTCTTATCAGTAAAGCAGTCTCACTGCTGTGAGTGGGGCAGCTTTTCATTGGAGGGCACAAAATGGATAATAATCTCTTGGTACAAGGTCTTTCAAGATTAAACCATCCAATTAAGAGCTGACACCTGGATTATTTCCCCTTTTAACCCAATAACTGATCCCAAAGAGCTGCAATGGGGACTTTTCTGCCCAATTACAAAATGCCACCCAAACCCATGGAGGAGAAGAGGGAAGAAGCAGCATGAATGTCACAGAAATATTTTATGCAAATTCGTTTTGCCAAGATCTTTTCTCCTGAGAAGCTGAGAGGCCTTAGAAATGAAATGTAACCAATGGTTATCTGCTGCTGTGGAATGCAACAGGGGCATCTGGGATTGGGCTCATGTGGTTGTTTCTGATTAATGGCCAATCACAGTCAGCTGGCTCGGACTCTGGTCAGTCACAAGGTTTTCCTTTGATTTCCTTTCCTTTGATTTCCTTTCCTTTGATTTCCTTTGATTTCCTTTGATTTCCTTTGATTTCCTTTGATTTCCTTTGATTTCCTTTGATTTCCTTTGATTTCCTTTGATTTCCTTTGATTTCCTTTCCTTTCCTTTGATTTCCTTTCCTTTCCTTTGATTTCCTTTCCTTTCCTTTGATTTTCTTTCCTTTCCTTTGATTTCCTTTCCTTTCCTTTGATTTCCTTTGATTTCCTTTCCTTTGATTTCCTTTGATTTCCTTTCCTTTGATTTCCTTTGATTTCCTTTCCTTTGATTTCCTTTGATTTCCTTTGATTTCCTTTCCTTTCCTTTCCCTTTCCTTTCCCTTTCCTTTCCTTTCCTTTCCTTTCCTTTCCTTTCCTTTCCTTTCCTTTCCTTTCCTTTCCTTTCCTTTCCTTTCCTTTCCTTTCCTTTCCTTTCCTTTCCTTTCCTTTCCTTTCCTTTCCTTTCCTTTCCTTTCCTTTCCTTTCCTTTCCTTTCCTTTCCTTTCCTTTCCTTTCCTTTCCTTTCCTTTCCTTTCCTTTCCTTTCCTTTCCTTTCCTTTCCTTTCCTTTCCTTTCCTTTCCTTTCCTTTCCTTTCCTTTCCTTTCCTTCCCTTCCCTTCCCTTCCCTTCCCTTCCCTTCCCTTCCCTTCCCTTCCCTTCCCTTCCCTTCCCTTCCCTTCCCCTTCCCTTCCCTTCCCTTCCCTTCCCTTCCCTTCCCTTCCCTTCCCTTCCTCTCCCCTCTCTCCTCTCCCCTTTCCTCTCCCCTTTCCTTTTTTCTTCCTTTCTGGTTTAATCTTTTCTTCTGTTCTTTCAGTATAGTTTCAATATATCATTTTCTTTTAATATACTATATATATCATAAAATAATAAATCAGCCTTCTGAAACATGGAGTCAACATTCTCATCTCTCACCTCGTCCTGGGACCCCTGTGAACCCCAAGAACAAACCCAGGACAGGACCCTGTGCCCCCCATCTTGCTTCCATCCACAACACACTAAAAACCCCAGACCCTCCATTCCTCACCCAGTGACACTCCTACACTCCTCTAGAATCTGTTCCACACTTTTGTGGATTCCAGTCCAGGAACTTTCTCCAGGAATGAGGGCCAAAGCCAGCGCTGCCCGGGGCTCAGGGCAGCCCAGAGGCATTGCCTGGTTTGCAGGGGTACCCAGGGGCCGTCCCTGCTGTGCTTTGTTGCAGACGCGGATGCAGAGCCTGCAGCCAGACCCCAAGGCCCAGTACCGGGGCGTGTACGAGGCCCTCAGGAGGATGGTGCTGACCGAGGGCTTCTGGAGGCCCCTGCGCGGGATCGATGTCACCATGCTGGGGGCGGGCCCTGCCCACGCCCTGTACTTCGCCTGCTACGAGAAGATGAAAAAGGCTCTGAGCGACGTTTTCCAGCCAGGAGGAAACAGCCACTTGGCCAATGGTATTTTTGGGGTTTGCCCTAAAAACAAAAACCATTTGTGGTTATCAACCTATTCCTTGCTTATCAACCTATTCCTTGCTTCTCACTCAGCATAAATTCTAAACTCCCCATCTAAATTCTTATTTAATCTCAAATTTTTCCAGTACAAATCATTGATTTTAGAGGGGGGAAACAGCCACTTGGCCAATGGTATTTTTGGGGTTTGCCCTAAAAAACCCCCCTATTTGTGGTTATCAATCTATTCCTTGCTTCTCATTCAGCCTAGTGCCCCTCCCCATCTAAATTCTTATTTTATTTCAAATTTTTCCAGCACAAATCATCAATTTAGTGGAGGAAGCAGCCACTTGGCCAGTGGTGTTTTTGGGGTTTGCCCTAAAAAAAAAACCCCATTTGTGGTTATCAACCTATTCCTTGCTTCTCACTCACCCTAGTACCCCTCCCCATCTAAATTCTTATTTAATCTCAAATTTTTCCAGCACAAATCATTGATTTAGTGGGCAAAAGGTGTTCAGGTGAAGCTGTGCTGTTCCTGTATTGCCATGGAATCCCTAAAGTTGGGAAAGATCTTGAGGATCGAGTCCCACCTTTGAAGGTGTCACCCACAGGGGTGATCTTGTGTTGAAGGCATCACCTCAACCTCTGGAGGTTTGAATTCAGGTGTCCCTGGGAGCACAGAGTGCCCTCCATCCTCTCTGTGCTTCAATTTTTAGCAGGAATATTTCACTTTTAAAGCCAGCAGAAAGCCTGGAATTGAGGAGTCAGGGCTTTACCAGAGGGGTTTGTGCTGGAGATTCCCATGGTTTTGCTGGGATGTGCCATGGGGTCACTGAACTCAGGGAAGGGAATAAAATCCCTTCTCCTCACTGCTCTTTGCTGGGAACACATTCCTGTGCTTGCCTTTCAAGTAGCTACAGGCCTGAGGTGCCAGCAGGAAAATCAGAGCTGTGGATTCACCAAATGACCAAAAGTGATTTGGGCCAGAGGGAATTGGAGGTGGGAGCCGACATCAAAGGGAAGGAGTGGCTGCAGAGCCTCATCCCAGAGCGGAGCAGGGATGGGTCAGGGCTGGCTGGCTTTGGCACGGCCTGGGCACCGGAGCCCAGGCTGAGTAAAGGGATGAAAATCCCTAATTAGGGACGTGCTGAGGGCAGGGTAAACATTGCTCACGGCTGGCTCAGGCGCCGCCGGTGTCTGGGTGGATGGAGCCTGGGAATTGTTGTAGGAAGAGCAAAGGTGGGGGCTGGCAGTGCATCCAGGGCTCTCTCAGGATGGGGATCCTGCCCTGGGAATCTGTGCTTGGCCCTGGGGCTGGGACCGGGCTGCTCCCTCAGCATGGGTGGGATCCACCAGGGATGGAGCTCCCCAATGGATGGAGCTCCCCAGTGGATGGATCCCCAATGGATGGAGCTCCTCAGTGGATGGAGCTCCCCAATGGATGGAGCTCCCCAATGGATGGATCCCCAATGATGGATCCCCAATGGATGGAGCTCCCCAATGGATGGAGCTCCCCAATGGATGGAGCTCCCCAATGGATGGAGCTCCCCAGTGGATGGATCCCCAATGATGGATCCCCATGGATGGAGCTCCCCAATGGATGGATCCCCATGGATGGAGCTCCCCAGTGGATGAATCCCCAGTGGATGGATCCCCATGGATGGAGCTCCCCAATGGATGGATCCCCATGGATGGAGCTCCCCAATGGATGGATCCCCAGTGGATGGATCCCCATGGATGGATCCCCATGGATGGAGCTCCCCAATGGATGGATCCCCAGTGGATGGATCCCCATGGATGGATCCCCAGTGGATGGATCCCCAGTGGATGGATCCCCATGGATGGATCCCCATGGATGGAGCTCCCCAATGGGTGGATCCCCATGGATGGAGCTCCCCAATGGATGGATCCCCATGGATGGAGCTCCCCCATGGTTGGATTCCCCATGGATGGATCCCCCCATGGTGGGATCCCCCATGGATGAAGCCCCCCTGCATGGGATCTCCATGGATGGATTCCCATATTTGGGATCCCCTGGATGGATTTCCGTGGATGGATTTCCCCTGGATGGATCCCCCTGGATGGCAGCGATCCCTTTTGAGCCAGGATTTGTTTTCTCAGGGCTGCTCTTCCTTGCAGGCATTGCTGGGAGCGTGGCCACGCTGCTGCACGACGCCGTGATGAACCCTGCTGAAGGTAACCCTGCATTCTGGCAGTGCTGCTGCCTCGGGACGCCCCGGGCCCTCAGTGCCTGCCCAGTGAATCCAGGCACGGATCCCTCCTGGCCCTTGTCCCTCTGTCCCTTGGCAGGAGCAGGAAGGAATCCAGGGCTGGGAGACCTCCAAACCCACCAGCCCCAGGGACCTCATTCCTCTGTCCTGGGGAGGAGAGGGAGAGCAGCCAGGAGGGATTTATTGTCCCTGATCTTTGTGGTGCACTGGGACTTTGCAGGGGAGGTGTCCCCTTTACTGTCACCACTCTGCTGCTCCCTGGGGCAGTGGCTCCGCTGTTCCTGAAGCTTTGGACTAACCAAGCTGAGCTCAGGGTGTTGGATGAGCACAGAGGGACTCTGAGATTCCTGGGGAGTGGAGTGGCAGGAGAAGGCCTCAGGAAAATGAGGATTGACAGGAAAATGAGGATTGACAGGAAAATGCAGCTCAAGTGACAATGCTGCCACCTGCCAGCTCCTCAGTGTCACTGGGTTGTGCTCCTGAGTGGGCCCACAGTTGGGAATCTCTGGAGGAGAAGCCTCCAGTGTATCAAATCCTGTTAATCACACCTTGATTAAATCAGTTCCATTAATTGGCCTCGTTAGTCAGAGGAAGGCACTGCAGCCAGTGAGGCTGGAGGGGGTGTGTGGCACCCTGGGCATGCTCAGGTGGGACTTCACCCTCTGCCCTCATCACTGCTGGGTGCTTGTGCGTCCTGAGCAGCCTGGTGAGGGCTCAGTCATTAACCCTGAGCGGAGGGGTTCATTAGAACCGGTGGGTCATTAATTAACCCTGAGGAGAGGGATTCATTAGAACTGGTGAGTCATTAATTAACCCTGAGGAGAGGGGTTCATTAGAACTAGTAGGTCATTAATTAACCCTGAGGAGTTCATTAGGACTAAAGGGTCATTAATTATCTGTGAGGAGAGGGGTTCATTAGAACTAAAGGGTCATTAATTATCTGTGAGGAGAGGGGTTCATTAGAACTAAAGGGTCATTAATTAACCATGAGGAGAGGGGATCATTAGGAAGTGAGCTCTGAGCTGTCCCCTCACTGTGCTGAGCCCTGGGGGCACTGGGCAGCTCGGGGGCATCAGTTTGGGTGGGGAAGGGGAGGTTGGGGCTGTGCCTGGGGTCACTCTGGGGGCTGTGCCAGGCAGGCCTGACCCCCAGCTGGGCAGTGTCCCTGTCCCCATTGTTGTCCTGAGCTCTGGCGGCACTGGGCAGCTTGGAGGGTTTGGTTTGGGTGGGGAAGGGGAGCTCAGGGCTGTGCCTGGGGTCACTCTGGGGGCTCTGCCAGGCAGGCCTGACCCCAGCTGAGCAGTGTCCCTGTCCTGAGCTCTGGGGGCACTGAGGGGGGTTTGGTTTGGGTGGGGAAGGGTCACTCTGGGGGCTGTGCCAGCCCCAGCTCCGTCCCTGTCCTGAGCTCTGGGCAGCTCAGGGGGATCAGTTTGGGTGGGGAAGGGTCACTCTGGGGGCTGTGCCAGCCCCAGCTCCGTCCCTGTCCTGAGCTCTGGGGGCACTGGGCAGCTCAGGGGGATCAGTTTGGGTGGGGAAGGGGCGCTCAGGGCTGTGCCAGCCCCAGCTCCGTCCCTGTCCTGAACTCTGGGCAGCACGGGGGGATCAGTCTGGGCAGGGAAGGGGAGGCTATGGCAGTGCCAGGCAGGCTTGGCCCCAGCTGAGCAGTGTCCCTGTCCCCCCGTGTCCCCGAGCAGTGGTGAAGCAGCGCCTGCAGATGTTCAACTCCCCGTACACGTCGGTGCTGGGCTGCGTGCGGACGGTGCACAGGACCGAGGGCTTGGGAGCCTTCTACCGCAGCTACACCACGCAGCTGACCATGAACGTGCCCTTCCAGGCCATCCACTTCATCACCTACGAGCTGATGCAGGAGCACCTGAACCCCCACCGCCAGTACCACCCCCAGTCCCACATCGTGGCCGGCGCCGTGGCCGGGGCCGTGGCCGCCGCCGCCACCACGCCCCTGGACGTGTGCAAGACGCTGCTCAACACGCAGGAGAACACGGCCCTGAGCTCCCTCAAGATCAGGGGGCACCTGTCGGGCATGGCCAACGCCTTCAGCACCGTGTACCAGCTGGGAGGGCTCCCCGGCTTCTTCAAGGGCGTCCAGGCCAGGGTCATTTACCAGATGCCCTCCACGGCCATCGCCTGGTCCGTGTATGAGTTCTTCAAGTACTTCCTCACCAAGCGCGCGCTGGAGAAAAAAACATAAAAACCTCCTGGGAAAAGGGAGTGGGAGCCTCCCTGGGGCTCCTCCCGGGCAGCCCCGCTGGAATTCTGCTGGATTCACATTTCCACATCCCTTGGTGCTCAGTCACTGAGTGCCCCCGGGGGTTCTGGGGATCCCTGGTCACTGAGTGTGTGTCCCCCTGTCACTGAGTGTCCCCAGGGATCCCTGGTCACTGAGTGTGTCCCACTGTCACTGGGTGTCCCCAGGGATCCCTGGTCACTGAGTGTGTGTCCCCCTGTCACTGAGTGTCCCCAGGGATCCCTGGTCACTGAGTGTGTCCCTGGGGATCACTGGTCACTGAGTGTGTCCCACTGTCACTGAGTGTCCCCAGGGATCCCTGGTCACTGAGTGTGTCCCCCTGTCACTGAGTGTCCCCAGGGATTCCTGGTCACTGAGTGTGTCCCTGTCACTGAGTGACCCTGGGGATCCCTGGTCACTGAGTGTGTGTCCCCCTGTCACTGAGTGTCCCCAGGGATCTCTGGTCACTGAGTGTCCCCCTGTCACTGAGTGACCCTGGGGATCCCTGGTCACTGAGTGTGTCCCTGGTCACTGAGTGTCCGCAGGGATCCCTGGTCACTGAGTGTGTCCCTGTCACTGAGGAGTTCTGGGAATTCCTGGTCACTGACTGTGTCCCTGTCACTGAGTGACCCTGGGGATTCCTGGTCACTGAGTGTCCCTGGGGATCCCTGGTCACGAATGTGTCCCTGGGGATTCCCATGGTGTTTCCCAGGGATTTCTGTGGTGCTCAGGGATTCCTGGTCACTCAGTGTCCCCTTGTCACCAAGTGTCTCTGGGGATTCCTGGTCACTCAGTGTCCTCCAGGATTCCCAAACACTGACTGTCCCCAGGGATTCACGGTCACTGGGTGTCCCTGGGGATTCCCATGGTGTTCCCCCAGGATTCCCGTCACTGACTGTCCCAAGGGATTCCTGATCACTGGGTGTCCCTGGGGAGTCCCATAATGTTCCCCCAGGATTCCCAGTCACTGGGTGTCCCCCGTGGATTCCTGTGGTGCTTGGTCATGGTCACTGGGGATCCCTGGTCACTCAGTGTCCCCAGGGATTGCCATGGTGCTCCCCCAGAGATTCCTGTGGTGCTCCTCAGGGATTTCTGCTCACTCAGTGCCACCTGTCACCAAGTGTCCCCAGGGATTCCCAGGTCACTCAGTGCCCTCTAGAATTCCAAGCCACTGAGCGTCCCCAGGGATTCCCACTCACTCAGTGTCCCCAGGGATTCCCGGTCACTCAGTGTCCCTGGGGATCCCTGCTCACTCAGAGTCCCCCTGTCACTGGGTGTCCCCAGGGATTCCTGGTCACTCATTGTCACCCAGGGATCCCCAGTCACTGAGTGTCCCTGGGGAACCCTGCTCACTCAGTGTCCCTTCCTGTCACTGGGTGTCCCCAGGGATTCCCAATCACTCAGTGTCCTCAGGGATTCCCAGTCACCGAGTGTCCATGGGGATTCCCGGTCACTGGGTGTCCCTGGGGATCCCTGCTCACTCAGTGTCCCCTCCTGTCACTGGGTGTCCCTGGGGATCCCTGCTCACTCAGTGTCCCCTGTGATTCCTGGTCACTGAGTGCCCCTTTCCCTCCCTTAAACAACAACAAAAAAAAAGAGTTTATACAGACTTTGATATTAATATATATCTATTTAATAACTTTATTTTGAAGCAGTGAAATCTCAAGCTTCTCTTTTTCTGGAAATAGGATGGAAGATGGAGTTTACTCCTTGCTGAAGGTTTAGGTTACCCAACCTAAGCCGTTTTTTTTTTTATTTTATTTTTTTATTTTTACAGCAGAGAAACAAAAATGTCCTGGCACAGAAGTTAATTTTATATAAATATAAAATAGCTGGATAATGTTTATCCTTTATTTTTCTATGTAGGCAGTTGGGTGGTTTTAAAATGCTTTTACAGCTGGGTGCAAAGCTGCTTTAAAAGGGCTCAGTTCTTCCCTCCTGTAAGGAAGACCCAAAATCACTGATTTTATGGCCAGATTGGCTTTAATTACCCAGGTGGTGGCCTGGCCTCTCCTCTGGGTGTCAAGGTACTTGGAAGCCCCTTGAGGGGACAAGGAATGGGGACATCACTTTGGGAACACCTGGGGCGTCCCAAAATCCCTTTGTGGGGAGAGGGGGAAATCTCAATTCCATTTTTTACAACTCTTGAAGATGCAGATTTTTAACCAATGTCGTTATTTTTCAATTTAAGCTTGCTAAAGGTACATTTCTATGGGAGGGACAGCTGACCTGCCTTCGTCCTCGCTGAGTTTATTCCCACTTTGTCCTCTCTGAAGCCCTGATCCCATCCCAGGAGCTCTCCTGGGATCCCAGGGGGTGCCTGGAGCTGCTCTGCTCCCAGACCCTGGAGCTGCTGTTTACAGAGCCCCTGGCAGCTCCAAACCAGCCCCAAACCCTTGGGAAAATCCCAGTGCGGCTCCAGAGGCACCTCCCAGCCCTCCCTGCTGCTCTTCCCTGTCCAGGAGGGGGAAAATTCCCACCTGGAGGGGGAAAAACCCACCTGGAGGGGGAAAAACCCCACCTGGATGGACAAAAATCCCACTTGGAGGGGGAAAAACCCCACCTGGATGGACAAAAACCCCACCTGGAGGGGAAAAAACCCCACCTGGAGGGGGGAAATCCCACCTGGAGGGAGGAAATTCCCACCTGGAGGGGGAAAATCCCACCTGGAGGGGGAAAACCCAACCTGGAGGGGGAAAATCCCACCTGGATGGACAAAAATCCCACCTGGAGGGGGAAAATCCCACCTGGAGGGGGAAAACCCAACCTGGAGGGACAAAAATCCCACCTGGATGGACAAAAACCCCACCTGGAGGGGAAAAACCCCACCTGGAGGGGAAAAACCCCACCTGGAGGGGGAAAAACCCCACCTGGAGGGGGAAAATTCCCATCTGGATGGACAAAATCCCCACCTGGAGAAGCTCCTCCTTGCCTGGGTTTGGTTTTCCTGCCTGCAGTGCTGGTGGGAAGGGTGGAAGCCTCCCTGCTCCAGCTGGGAATGGCTTTCAAAACCAAATCCCTTCCTTTGGCTGCTCCCTGGGAGGTCAGGAGGGATTTTGGGATCCTGGATGTGCAAATTCAAATTCCAGAGTCCATTTCCCATTTGAATCCAGGGATCAATTCCATCCTTCCCAAAGCAAATCCCAGCTTTCAGCTGCTCCCTTGGGAGATCAGGAGGGATTTTTGGGATCCTGGATGTGCAAATTTGAGTAACAGGATCCATGTCCCATTTGGGAATGGCTCTTCCAAAGCAAATTCCATGTTTTAACCTCTTACTTTCAGGAGGGATTTTTGGGATCCTGGATGTGCAAATTCAAATTGCAGGGGCCATTTCCCATTTGAATCCAGGGATCCATTCCATCCTTCCCAAACCAAATTCCATCCTTTAGCCACTCCCTTGGAATATCAGCAGCCAGGGAGGGATTTTTGGGATCCTGGATGTGCAAATTCAAGTTCCAGAGTCCGTTTCCCATTTGGGAATGACTCTCTCAAAGCAAATCCCATCCTTCATCTGTTCCCTTGGGAGATCAGGAGGGATTTTTGGGATCCTGGATGTGCAAATTCGAGTAACAGGATCCATTTCCCATTTGGGAATGGCTCTTCCAAAGCAAATTCCATGTTTTAACCCTTCCTTGGATGGTCAGGAGGGATTTTTGGGAGCCTGGATGTCGAAATTCGAGTTCCAGGGATCAATTCCATCCTTCCCAAACCAAATTCCATCCTTTAGCCACTCCCTTGGAATATCAGCAGCCAAGGAGGGAATTTTGGGATCCTGGATGTGCAAATTGAAATTGCAGGATCCATTTCCCATTTGAATCCAGGGATTCATTCCATCCTTCCCAAAGCAAATCCCAGCTTTCATCTGCTCCCTTGGGAGGTCAGGAGGAATTTTTGGGATTCTGGATGTTCAAATTCCAGAGTCCATTTCCCATTTGGGAATGACTCTTCCAAAGCAAATTCCATGTTTTAACCCTTCCTTGGATGATCAGGAGGGATTTTTGGGATCCTGGATGTGCAAATTCCACTCCCAGGGATCAATTCCATCCTTCCCAAACCAGATCCCATTGTTTAGCTGCTCCATTGGAGTTTCAGCAGCCAAGGAGGGATTTTTGGGATCCTGGATGTGCAAATTCAGCTCCCAGGGATCAATTCCATCCTTCCCAACCCAGATCCCATTGTTTAGCTGCTCCATTGGAGTTTCAGCAGCAGGGAGGGATTTTTGGGCAGCAGTTCCAGGATCCCCGTGTGCCCTCCCTGGGATGTCCCTTGGGGTCTCTGGGGCTGTCCCATCACCCAGCTCTGGTTTTAGGGTGACCCTGAGCACTTCTCATCCTTGTCCCCAATTTCTGGAGCAGGAAAATGCAGGATCCCCCTCGGGGGTGCCGCGTGTGCCTTGTGGGAGCGATCCCAGTGTGAAATGAGCTTTTTGCTGCCTTGTTTTGTGTCTTAACCTGAGTAAATCCCTTCACCAAAGGCTCCCTGTGCCTTAAAGTGGGAAAATCCCACTGGATTCTCCTGCCCTGGGTGGGCTTGGAGGCCTCAGAGCTGAAGCTTTTCCTTGAGAAACTGGAGAGTCACTCCCAGGGCCAGAAGAGCCTGGAAAAGTCCCCTGGAGATGGAATTTGGGGAACTGAATGCCAAAATGTGGGATAATGTGGGATAATTCCAGCTTCTGGTGCAGCCTCTGGAATTCCTGCTCCGTCCTCCTATTCTGGATGCTCCTTGGAAATTCCTGCCTTGGGAGAAGCTCAGCTGCTCCTGGGAGTAACCTGGGAGTAGGGACACAAAGTGTGAGTGTGGGGTGTGGGGAGGGGTTTGGGCACCCTGGGGAGGAGGAGATCCCGAGGGATGGGAGCAAAAATCATCAGCCAGGAACTGCTGGGAATCGGCTCCTCCTCGGGCTGGGAGTGGGCAAAGCCTCTGGGAAAAGGAAAATCCATCCTGGGAAAAGGAAAATTCATTTTGGAAGGAGGAAAATCCATCCTGGGAAAGGAAAATCCATTCTGGGAAAAGGAAAATCTATCCTGGGAAAGGAAAATACATCCTGGAAAAGGAAAATCCATCCTGGGAAAGGAAAATCCATCCTGGGAAAGGGAAAATCCATCCTGGAAAAGGAAAATCCATCCTGGGAAAGGAAAATTCATTCTGGAAAGGAAAATCCATCCTGGAAAAGGAAAATCCATTCTGGGAAAAGGAAAATCCATCCTGGAAAAGGAAAATCCATCCTGGGAAAGGAAAATTCATCCTGGGAAAGGAAAATCCATCCTGGGAAAAGGAAAATCCATTCTGGAAAAGGAAAATCCATTCTGGGAAAAGGAAAATCCATCCTGGGAAAAGGAAAATCCATCCTGGGAAAAGGAAAATCCATCCTGGAAAAGGAAAATCCATTTTGGAAGGAGGAAAATCCATTCTGGGAAAGGAAAATCCATTCTGGAAGAAGGAAAATCCATTTTGGAAAAAGGAAAATCTGTTTTGGAAGGAGGAAAATCCATTCTGGAAAAGGAAAATCCCTTCTGGAAAAAGGAAAATCCATTTTGGAAAAAAGAAAATCCATTCTGGAAAAAGGAAAATCCATTCTGGAAAAGGAAAATCCATTCTGGAAAAGGAAAATCCATCCTGGGAAAGGAAAATCCATTCTGGGAGGAGGAAAATCCATTCTGGAAAAAGGAAAATCCATCCTGGGAAAGGAAAATCCATTCTGGAAAAGGAAAATCCATCCTGGGAAAGGAAAATCCATTCTGGGAGGAGGAAAATCCATTTTGGAAAAAGGAAAATCCATTTTGGAAAAGGAAAATCCATCCTGGGAAAAGGAAAATCCATTCTGGAAAAAGGAAAATCCATTCTGAAAAGGAAAATCCATTTTGGAAAAGGAAAATCCATCCTGGGAGGAGGAAAATCTGTTTTGGAAGGAGGAAAATCCTTTCTGGGAAAAGGAAAATCCATTCCGGGAAAAGGAAAATCCATTTTGGAAGGAGGAAAATTAATTCTGGGAAAGGAAAATCCATTCTGGAAAAGGAGAATTCATTCTGGAAAAAGGAAAATCCATTTTGGAAAAAAGAAAATCCATTCTGGAAAAGGAAAATCCATTCTGGGAAAAGGAAAATCCATTCTGGGAAAATAAAAATCCATTTTGGAAAAGGAAAATCCATTTTGGAAGGAGGAAAATCCATCCTGGGAAAAGAAAAATCCATTTTGGAATGAGGAAAATCCGTTTTGGAAAAAGGTAAATCTGTTTTGGAAGGAGGAAAATCCATTCTGGAAAAAAGAAAATCCATTCTGGGAAAAGGAAAATCCATTCTGGAAAAGGAAAATCCATCCTGGAAAAAAGAAAATCCATTCTGGAAAAAAGAAAATCCATTCTGGGAAAAGGAAAATCCCTTCTGGGAAAAGGAAAATCCATCCTGGGAGGAGGAAAATCCATTCTGGGAGGAGGAAAATCTGTTTTGGAAGGAGGAAAATCCTTTCTGGGAAAAGGAAAATCCCTTCTGGAAAAGGAAAATCCATTCTGGAAAAAGGAAAATCCATTCTGGAAAAGAAAAATCCCCTTGGATCCCCCAGCCCAGCTCTCACCATTCCCGAGGCCTCACTGCAGCAGGAACATTCCCAGGAACATTCCCAGGTTCATTCCCAGGAACATTCCCAGGAACTTTCCCAGGAACATTCCCAGGTTCATTCCCAGGAACATTCCCAGGAACATTCCCAGGATCATTCCCAGGAACATTCCCAGGATCATTCCCAGGAACATTCCCAGGTTCATTCCCAGGTTCATTCCCAGGAGCATTCCCAGGATCATTCCCAGGAACATTCCCAGGAGCATTCCCAGGAACCTTCCCAGGTTCATTCCCAGGAGCATTCCCAGGAACATTCCCAGGAGCATTCCCAGGAACATTCCCAGGAACATTCCCAGGATCATTCCCAGGAACATTCCCAGGAACATTCCCAGGAATATTTCCAGGAGCATTCCCAGGAACATTCCCAGGAACATTCCCAATTTTCCAGCTGCTGCTGCTGCTGCTGGATCCGCAGGGAAAATCCCCAAATCCCCAAATCCCACAGGTCCCTGCCAGGTTGGCCTTGGGAGTTGTGCTGCAATTCTGGGCTGAAATCTTTGATTTTAGCCCAGTCTGACCCAATTCTGCCACAAACGCACAAAGATTTTAAGGGAGGGTGAGGAACTTGCCCAGTTCTTAATCCCTTTTTTTTTTTCCCTTTGGATTTTTTGCCTTGGCAAAAATAAAATAAAAATAAAAATAAACTTAAAAATTAAAAATTAAAAATTACAAGTGTTTTCTTCCCTGTTTACCAATGCAGGAGGATGTGGGTATGAAATGCTGCTACAGTTGTGTCACTGGAGCTCGAGGAAATAAAAATATCCAGATTTGTTTGGTCCTTTTGGAGTTGTTTCCTTGGGAATGAGGGAGGGGCTGATCCCTGAGGGGATGGCGCCTTCCAGCGGTGACTGAGCTCCTGGGGAGGGAAAATCCATCCTGGGGAGGGAAAATCCATTTTGGGAAAGGGAAAATCCATCCTGGGAAAAGGAAAATCCATCCTGGGAAAGGGAAAATCCATTTTGGGAGAAGGAAAATTCATCCTGGGAAAGGGAAATTCCATTGTGGGAGAAGGAAAATCCATCCTGGGAAAGGGAAAATCCATCCTGGGAAAAGGGAAATCCATCCTGGGAGGGGGAAATTCCATTGTGGGAAAAGGGAAATCCATTCTGGGAAAGGGAAAATCCATCCTGGGAAAGGGAAATCCTTCTGGGAGGGGGAAATCCATTTTGGGAGAAGGAAAATCTGTTCTAGGAGGAAGAAAGTCCATTTTGGGAGGGGAAAAATCCTTTGGGGAAAATAAAAATCCATCTGGGGGGAGGAAAATCTGCACTGGGAGAAGGAAAATGCATTTTGGGAGAAGGGAAATTCTCCTGGGTGGGGGAAAATCCATTCTGGGAGGAGGAAAATCCATTTTGGGAGGGGAAAATCCTTTTGGGAACATAAAAATCCATCTGGGGGAAGGAAAATCCATTTTGGGAGAAGGGAAATTCTCCTGGGAGGGAGAAAATTCTTTCTGGGAGGAGGAAAATCCATCCTGGGTGGGGGAAAATCCATTCTGAGAGGGTAAAAATCCTTCTGGGAAAGAAAAATCCGTCCTTGGGGGAGGAAAATCTGTACTAGAAGGGGAAAATCCATTCTGGGAGAAGGGAAATCCTTCTGGGAGGGAGGAAAATCTGAACTGGGATGAGGAAAATCCATTCTGGGAGGGGAGAAATCCTTTTTGGAGGGGAAAAATCCATTTTGGGAGAAGGAAATTCTCCTGGGAGGGAGAAAATTCTTTCTGGGAGGAGGAAAATCTGAACTGGGATGAGGAAAATCCATCCTGGGATGGGAAAAATCCTTCTGGGAACATAAAAATCCATCTGGGGGAAGGAAAATCCATTTTGGGAGAAGGGAAATTCTCCTGGGAGGGTAAAAATCCTTCTGGGAAAGAAAAATCCGTCCTTGGGGGAGGAAAATCTGTGCTAGAAGGGGAAAATCCATTCTGGGAAGGGGAAAATCCATTTTGGGAAGGGGAAAATCCATTTTGGGAGGAGGAAAATCCATTTTGGGAGGGGGAAAATCCATTTTGGGAGGAGGAAAATCCATTCTGGGAGGGAGAAAATCCATTTTGGGAGGAGGAAAATCCATTTTGGGAGGAGGAAAATCCATTTTGGGAGGGGAAAATCCATTTTGGGAAGGGGAAAATCCATTTTGGGAGGGGGAAAATCCATTTTGGGAGGAGGAAAATCCATTTTGGGAGGGGGAAAATCCATTTTGGGAAGGGGAAAATCCATTTTGGGAGGAGGAAAATCCATTCTGGGAGGGGGGAAAATCCATTTTGGGAGGAGGAAAATCCATTCTGGGAGGGGGAAAATCCATTTTGGGAGGAGGAAAATCCATTTTGGGAGGAGGAAAATCCATTTTGGGAGGGGGGAAAATCCATTTTGGGAGGAGTTTTCCAGCCGCGCAGCTCCCGACGCTCCTCTAGGAGCCGCTGCAGGTTTTGATCTCTCCTGGCCGGGAATTCCCGACCCGAACTCAGGAACTGCGGCTCCTGCGGCAGCAAAAATTCCCAAATTCCCACAGAATTGGGAATTTCCCTCCCCTGGAATCCGCGTGAGGGGAGGGAGCTGCTCTTTGCTGAGGTTTCTCTGTAATTCCCTGCAGGATTTGAAGGAAAAAAACCCCAGGAAATGCTGGAGCTGCTTTGGATTTTCCCTTCTTCTGGAATAAAAACGGGGAAAATTCCATTTATTGGAGCAGTTTCTGCCCAGTGCTGGTGCCGAGTGGGGAATCATTCCCTGGGAGTGGAATTCCCGGGAGGTGGAATTCCCTGGAATTTGGGCCGAGCAAATCCCTCAGGTTCACAGGGACTCTGCTCTCCCTGAGGCAAAGGAGATCCCAAGGTGGGATCTGAAGGGAATAAAAAGGGGAATTTTCACCAAAATATTGAAATTATGAATTTGGAAGGAGCGTTTCAGCTCCAAATGGACAATTCCTGGTTTTCCCCAGGGATTTCTGGAGCCCCCAGTCTGTGCCATGGCTGTTCCTGAGGCTGGCGCGGGGGCAGCGGGGATCCCTCAGCTCCTTTGGGCTTTTTGGGGTGGTTTTGTCCAAATTTGGGATTTTCAGCCTGTCCAAGTGCTCCCTGGGAAAGGGATCCAAGTCCTGGAAAATGGATCTAGGCCAAGGAAAGGGACCAAATAATGGGAAAGGGATCCTGGGAAAGGGATCCAGTGCAGGGGATGGGATCCAGTCCTGGGAAAGGGAACAAATCCTGGGAAAGGATCCAGTCCTCATGCAGAAGGTCCCCCAAATCCCCCAAACTTCTATAAAAAAAAAAAAAAAAACAAACACAAAAAAACTCCCAAAAACAAACCCAGAAAAAACCACAAAAAAACCCAAAAAAACCAAAAAGAGGGAATGGGGATAACCCTCAAATTGGCACCAATCCTTCCCTGCTCCTGAAGAAAGTCCCCAAAATCCCCAAAATTCCATAAAGAAAAGAAGGAATGGGGATAATTTGGAACCAATCCTTCTCTGTTCCTGCAGCAGGTCCTCAAAATCCCCAAAATTCCATTAAAAAAAGAAGGAATGGGGATAAATTGGCACCAATCCTTCTCTGTTCCTGCAGAAAGTCCTCAAAAATCCCCAAAATTCCATAAAAAAAAGAAGACACTAAAGACGGGATAAATTGGCACCAGTCCTTCCCTGCTCCTGCAGAAAGTCCTCAACATCCCCAAAATTCCATAAAAAAAGAAGGAATGGGGATAAATTGGCACCAGTCCTTCCCTGCTCCTGCTGGAGGTTCCCAAACCCCCAAACTCCCATAAACGCCTCAGGGGATTCAGGTCCCTGACATTCCCAAATTTGGGATGTCTGGGGTGAGATCAGCCCCGAGAGGCCCCAGATCCAGGGGGTTCCAACCATTCCCATCCCAGCCCAGGAATTCCATGGGGAGCTGCCATGGCCACCCCAAACCCAGGAGCAAAAGCTGCAGGGATGAATGCAGAGCCTCAGCACCGTGGAAATGTTGGAGATTTTTCCATTGATCGCTGAGAAAAGCTCAGGGCCAGAATCCTGGAGCGGGAATTTGGGAATTCCTGGAGGTTCCTCTCCCTGCCCAGGGCCTGCAGCTCCTGGGATTGGGAAGGAGAATTTCCTTGGACCCCCAGAATCTCCATTTCCACCCATTTCCACCCATTTCCACCCATTTCCACCCATTTCCACCCATTTCCACCCATTTCCTCTGCCCCATTTTTCCCTGCTCCCACTCCCAACAAATCCTTCAGAAATGCCCAATATTCCCCCCTCTCCCTCCAAGATTTTTGCTGGAGTTTTTCCCTGGCACCTCACCCTCCTCAGCCCCTTTGGAGCTGCTGAAATGAGGGATTATTCCCTATTTATCCAACTTTTCTCCACTATTTATCCACATTTCTCCACTATTTATCCACATTTCTCCACTATTTATCCACATTTCTCCACTCCTCTCCTGGGCACAGCATCAATCTGCACCTTGCTCTTGTCACCCGCTCCAAACCTTGCTGGGGCCTGGCCGAAAGCAAATAAAATAATAATAAAGATTTAAACAGAGGTGATGGATGGGTTGGTGTGGGCTGGGCTGAGGAGCTCCCAGGAGCTTTTGGAGGGCTCAGCTTCCTGCAGCTGATGAGAAATTGATTTTTGTTTGGCAAACCTCGGAGCAGGTGCAAGAGAAAGCAGCAGGAAATCCTGGTTTTCCTCTTCCCAGCCAAAATTGGCATTATTGGGGTGGGAAACAAAGCAGGAGCTGAGTGAGGCAAAGGTGGGGATGCTCTGAGGGGGCTGGAGCTGCTGAATTCCAGCACAAAAAAGCCCAAAATTGACAATATTGGGCTGAAATTCAGTTTTTATTTCCTCAAGCTCCAGTGACACAACTGCAGCAGCATTTCCCACCTGGGTCCCACATTGCTGGGCAGTGAAGAAAACACTTTAAAATCCCCATTTATTTTATTTGGCCAAGGCAAAAAGCCAAAAAAAAAAATAAAAATAAAAAGCAGATTAAGAACAGCAAAAGTTCCCCATCCTCCCTTGAATAACACCGAGCATTTGTGGCAGGTGAAGGGGCAGAACTGGGTCAGAGACTGGGCTAAAATCCAGGATTTGGGGTCACAGACTGGGCTAAAATTAAGGAATTTTGGATCAGAGACTGGGCTAAAATAAGATTTGGGGTCACAGACCAGGTTAAAACCAAGGGTTTGGGGTCACAGATTGAGCTAAAATCCAGGATCTGGGGTTGCAGACCAGGTTAAAATCCAGGATTTGGGATCACAGACTGGGCTAAAAGGATTTGGGGTCACAGACTGGGCTAAAATCAAGGATTTGGGGTCATTAACCAGGCTAAAATGAAAGATTTGGGGTCACAGACCAGGTGAAAACCAAGGGTTTGGGGTCACAGACTGGACTAAAATTAAGGAATTTTGGATCAGAGACTGGGCTAAAATCCAGGATTTGGGGTCCCAGATTGAGCTAAAATCCAGGATTTGGGGTCGCAGACCAGGTTAAAACCAAGGATTTGGGGTCACAGACTGGACTAAAATTAAGGAATTTTGGGACAGAGACTGGGCTAAAATCCAGGATTTGGGGTCAGAGACTGGGCTAAAGAAAGGATTTGGTGTCACAGACTGATCTAGAATCAAGAATTTGGGGTCACTAACTGGGCTAAAATCCAGGATTTGGGGTCCCAGACTGGGCTAAAATGAAAGATTTGGGGTCACAGACCAGGTTAAAACCAAGGGTTTGGGGTCACAGACCAGACTAAAATTAAGGAATTTTGGATCAGAGACTGGGTTGAAATCCAGGATTTGGGGTCACAGA